CACACGTTGATTTGCTTCATGTTTTGACTACTGCTATGACCAGCTGCAAAGCTGGTAACAGAGACGTCTCGGTTGACGTTTCTGTGTAGTATGGGGCTAGCCCAACCGAAGGGATATAATGTATAGGCCTGGTGGGTTCAGGGTCTTTCATCTTACATCTGCCTGCGAGCAGTTTGGAGGTGCAAGATACCTGAGCGTGTAATGTTAATTTTACCTGTGATCCTTTGAATAAATCAGCACTGTTTTGAAGTTACTTGGACTGTCTCGTCTCAGAGTCAGTATGGTAAAAAGTACCGGGTACAACATTAGGGAGCCTGTGAAACAAATAGTTTCTGTGGCTGTGATAGTAAATATGTCAAGTCTAAGACAAACTCATGTGACAGCCCTTTGTGGATGCATTTTACATGAAAACCTTGTATTACAGGGAGCTGTGGCATTTTACAGACATGGGCCTTTACCAGACAGGGAGAGCCTGTATCGAATTGAATCATGGGAAGTGTAGGTGCATACTGGATATTTGGATATAGCTAGTTTATAGCTGACTACATTCATGCATTTCTGAGTTTGAAACCTCTACAGCCTTCTCTGTAGTCCTCTCCTGACATCAGACGTGAGACTTCTTTACCTCCTCAAGTAGCAAAACGTATCCAACACTTTGGTACTATGGTGTGTAATGATTCATTGCAGCTTCTAGAAGCTGCTAGCCAACATCCAGTCATGCTTTATTTATTCAGCACTATGAAATCTACATGTGCACTTGATTAGTGACAACTGAGAAGCGTCCTAACTTCCCATAGCTGATCTCACCTGTCCCTACTCAGTGATGTCAGCACAGCTGTCCTGTGTGATGATGTCACTGGGTCATTCCTGTCACGTTGAGTAACACTCTATCCCTGCCTGGTTTCTTTGGTGAGTGTATATGTGTGTGTTTTTAGCTGCAGTGTGTAACTGTGGCAGTCAACCTCATTGCTAACTGATTTACTGTGTCTGACACGTTATAGGTTAGAGCTGTGTATCTGTCTCTGTGTGTAGTGTATGGACGGCTTTATATAGCCACAGTTATCCAGGAAGAAGGAATACTCTGGATGCCAGTGACCATATTTGAACAGTGTCTGTTACAGGAAGACTGGACACACTAACTGCAAATTGAAACTTAAACACACTCACCTCCCCTTCATCTTCACCCCGTGTGTGTGTGCATGTGTGTGTGCATGTGTGTGTGTGTGTGTGTGTGTGCTCTGTGTTGCAGTTACACTGGATCACCACTATCAGGCAATGTAATACCTTGTCCAGTAGTAACAGCGGGGCTTCAACCTTCTCTCTCCCTTTCCAGCACTTTCTGGTTTCTTCTTTGTGACGGCCTGTTCTGCTGACTGACAACATCTACTCTGACCCTGTGGAGGAAACTACTCTGTCTCTTTTTATTTCTTAACCTTCACTTGCTTTGTGCTGATCGGTGACTTGTCCACTTTTGGGAGCAGCTGTTGGTGGTTGAGCAGGCAGGCTTCTGGGTTTTGTGTGTGTGTGTTTGTGTATGCGTGAGTCAGTATGCCATGTCGTCCCCTGGCACGTCGTTTGTGCAGATAAAGCATGAGGACCTGCTCTTCTATGAGAACTGCGGAGGAGGCAGCTTTGGGAGCGTCTACAGAGCCCTCTGGATATCCCAGAACAAGGAAGTGGCTGTGAAGAAGCTCCTGAAGATTGACAAAGAGGTAAGGAGAAGACACACACACACACACACACACACACACAAATCAATCTTGCTTCTGCAGCAGAGTTCCACACAAAATCCAAAGCTGTTACTAGTTATGGGCTCTGTGGCTCTAAACTTGTGTTTATCTTAAACATACCTCTCCTTGTCCCCCTCCTCTTCCTCCCCCCACTCTATTGTGGACAGAGCTGTTTTATGTATTTATGCCAGCACCCCCCCTGTTCCTCCCATTGTATGTTAGGTTGAGGTGTGTGATCATTTGTGTCTTTGTGCAATGCAGTTCAGGCCTGGGTGGCTCCCCTTGATGGAAAACATAAGTTCTTTCCATGTTATTAATACTGAGCAACCTCTGGATGAAAAGGGCATGATGTTACTGTTACGGCAGCAGGTTTTAAACTGTCGCGTGAAGTATGCACACATCTACGAATACCATTCAAAGGAAACTCAGTTTTAACGACATAAAATGCTCTGCCGCACATGGGCCGACTACAGAAACCTACCGAGGGAACATTGATTTCTTGCTTGACTTGTTTCTCTCACACTCACTTTCTCACACCCATACACAAACACACGCAGGGTGGGCAGACATGCACAACGCTGTGAGTGCAGTTCAAGTGTAAATACAAACCGATGGATCATGGAAGAGCTGTGGCTTAGTGGCGCCGGTTTTTCTGCAACATTTCAGAGCTGCTTTTGAAACAATAAAAGCTTATCTTGGATATTTGCAGAAACATAAAATTCAGAAACTGGTGTAAGAGGTACTCAGATCACTTAAATAAATGCTTATTGTGGGGCTCTGAAGGTTTATGACGGCATGTCATGACACCCCCCTCTTTCCATATGAGTGCTCTCCCATCCATTGGCGCATTTAATTGTGTATTACTGACTGTTATAATAATTACACTTTTATTTCCTGTAAGTAAAACTACGTAAGTATTTGCAACAAATTATCAAAAGAAATGCCCTGTCTTGAACTAGTTCGGAGATCTTGAACTAGTTGGGAGTCCGACATGAACAGTGGATGAAGAAGCGCGAGTGCCGTGGTGTAAAGCACACCACTGCATTCACAAATCTAAAACAGCACGCACAAATGCAATGCAATGCACACAAAGAGATGTCTGTACACACTGACAACCTCACAGTAGTAGAAACGATGGGAATAAAAGCAGAAAGATAAATGACTTTTTTGAAGAAAAACTATTGAGAAACTACTTGGGTGATTTAAAAAAACAGTTCTTATGATGTTTGGAAACAGGCATTGCTCATATGCAGAGGTTATAACCTACTGTATATGTCGGTGCAGATTAATGGCATGATTGTGATTCGTGTGGACTCTGTCTGTGGTAAGAAAGAAGGTCGGGCCACAGTTCAGGTGCCCCTGGAGACACTGTCAGCAATAACTTGGATAACAAGTCAAAAGCCCACACTTTTAAGTTTATAGTCTAGGTCATGTCTCTGTGACAGTACTGTGTCAGATATTGGAAAATATCTGCTAAGGCTGCTGACAACGTTATTCATATCCCTCTGTTTCCCATCTTCTCGTCTCCTCTTCCAGGCTGAGATTCTCAGTGTCTTGAGTCATAAGAACATCATTCAGTTTTATGGAGCCGTGCTGGAATCTCCCAACTATGGCATTGTCACAGGTCAGAATGCTTGTGTGTGTGCTTGTGTGTGTGTGTCTGTGAGATTAATGCACCCTTTCAGATGTCCTCACAAAAGCATAAAAGCTAAGCATGTGACACTGGGAGTTGTTTTCAGTCCTAACTTCATTCAAATAAATATTATCTTTAGAAAAGGTGCTCTACAAATTAAGATGTGTAATATTATCTCTGGGGTTAAGGTCTAATGTTACTTGTATCCATAAGTAACATTAGGTTAAGGGTCAGGTCAAAGAATAGGCTTTGAATTTTTCAACAATCTTGATGTGCCCAAATGTACGTGAGAATAGGTCTTAGTCGCTGTAACCCTTTCCACCATCTATGAAGGTTTCCACCCCAAACGTGACTATACTTTAAGAAATGGAGGACAAAGTTCACTGGCCTCATTTTGTGTAAAAATACATCCCAAAGTTCAGCTGCAGCTGTCCCGCTAAGATTATCTAAGTTGAAATCTTTCAAATTTAGTTTATTTAAGACAAATTTCCCTCTTTTGTGTCCCAGGATAGTAGTTCTCCACTGAGCTGCGGCGGAGGGATACGTCCAGTAGTTGCGTGTAAGTACTGTTATCACCGGAACTGGCATTTTACTCACATAAACGCATAATCAGTATCGCAGCCTCTCTTGGTTACCTTAATATTCCCCTGGGAGACATGTTGTCGTACACTAACATTTGTTTCTATAAAGCTGAGCCACTGTCACTGTTACACAACTGTGCACTGTCATCACTGTGGCCTTTCTAGGAACATGATCTTACACATAGGTAACTTAGTTTGGCTGACTGATAAACAACAACACAGTATGTATTTATTTGGACTTACCCCCTTGCCAGCTGCTGTTAACTCGACTGGTGATGGCACAGCTGTGCAGAGTTCCTCTCACAGCACTTCTGCTACTGTGGAAATGGGGTCCAGATACATGTTACTTTCTCAGCTTTGCCAACAGTACATTTATGTCCAGTTTGACCTTTATTAGGCACAGCTTGGTCCTATCAGGATCTCTCAGGTGAAATCTGTGGAACTGTTTTGCCCATCACTCATTTCTAAGACTCTTAATAAACATAGACATGAACCAGTTCTATTTTTTGTAAGGTGCAGATGAGGCTGGAGCGACTGAGATGTCATACACAGGGTTTACTGATGTCCCAAAGCCACAAATTGCAAAAATACTCAGCTATGAAATCTGAGAACTTGCTTCCACATTAATTGAGCATAGCTTGAGAAGTAAACACCAGTATAACAACAAACTTGTATACTTGAGCATAGCTTGAGAAGTAAACACCAAAACAACAAACAACAAACTTGTATAATATCCCTCCACCACAGCTCAGCAAAGAACTTATTTTTGTCCTGGGAGACAAAAATAATGTAAAATTGTCAGAAATAGACTAACTTTGAAAACTGCCAAACTCAAATTAGCTGCTGAAGCGTCATTTGAGCCTCAGACAAATGTTGGAGAACATTTTTACACAGATCTAGGGTTGTGAATTTTGTCCCTCATTTTCTACAGTGTAGTCATGTTCTGTGTTGAATCAAGGGTCAGTGTAGAGAGCAGGAGAAGTTTCAGTACCTAAGACCTATTCTCACGTACAAATGGGCATGTCAGTACTGTTTCAAGACCAACTGGAAAACTCCTGGACCTGTCCTTTAAGATAAGGAATGAAGGGATTAGGGTCAGGGCAGACTGACCTCATAAAAGTACACTCTGTCTGTGTGTGTATTAGTTTTATTGGTGCGCATCTGATCCTAGACCTGCCACTTACAGCGGACATGCTGGCACATGCTCTGATGGCCGACCAGTGTTTATGTGTGTGTATCTCTGCTGGTTCTTGCTGCGTTTCCTGGCAGGACATTTGTAACTGAGACCAGCAGGTTTGGATGTGACTGAAATCCTGGGTAGGATCACATGGTTAAGATAAAGCACCGGCACACCACTACAGACCTGTCCGGCAACAATCCTCACTACAGCTGAGTCTGTCCAAGTACAAAGTCTAATAAAAAAGTACAGCAAACAAAACTAAGTCTCGGAGACAGATCTCGGTCCCAGTAAGTTTATAAATTGTGATATGTATGAGAGGGATTTTTTTTTTTTTAACCCTCTGGGCTGCACGGGCCTCCTTTGATTGGGCAGTTCCCTTTGTCCTCCACTTGTCTCTCTGAGTAGTCAGACATCATAGGAAAATGGGAAAGATAATCTGGATTAGACAGTCAAGGTTGTGAGGGTTTCCAGTGAATGGAGCTGGATTCTCTGATTTCAACTGTGTGCGATGTTCTCACACATTCTAATATACTGAGGCAGACTACAACTGCACCGCAGACGATGTCCAAACACTCATTCCCTCGTTTACCATGTCGATCACCTTTAAAATCAAAATGCTGTGATATCTGTAGCTGTATTATAAAAGCAGATGTTTATTGTTTCAATGTGTTTTATGGTTTTAAAAATCAAAACCAAACTTTTGTGACAGGTTAAAAGTCATCTACTGGTAAATCTGTACTCATGGTCGCATTGTACAGACAGCATAGTTGTGTACAGTGGTGGAAGAAGTACTCAGATTGTTCACTTCAGTAAAAGTAGTAATACAACTGTATAAAAATATCATTATAAAAGTCCTTCATTCAAAATGCTATTTAACTAAAAGTACAAAAGTATTAGCATACAAATATACTCAAAGTAGTAAATAAAAGTACTCACTATACCAAATGTCACAGTTTACAATAATATACTATATCCCATTACTGGATTTTAATTGTTGATATATTATTGTGTACATCACATTATTGCTGTTGCTGGTAATAGTGGAGCTCATGTTAGCTGCCTTATATGGTCATAATTTGAAGTACTTCACATACTGCTGGGTAGCTTGTGAATTTTACACCAAGGATCAATAAAGTCTTATGATTATACTGTATTTATTTATACTGTTTTTTATCTCATTCAGAAAAGCCACTATTAACTTTTCAAATAGATGTGGTGAGTACAAAGTACAATATTTTTCTCTGAAATCTAGTGAAGTATAAAGTAGCAGAAAATGAAAATAATCAGTATAGTACATCGATAAATGTACTTGGTTACTTTCCACCTCTGGCTGTGTACAGATGATTTCTTTTTAACTGTTCTCTGGTGACTTTCTGTCTATTTGTGCGTTACTTCTGACAGAATATGCCAGCGGAGGGTCTCTGTACGATTACCTGTCCAGTGAGCAGAGTGAGGAGATGGACATGGAGCAGATCATGACATGGGCCATACAGATAGCCAAAGGTACAGCTGAGGAAATGATCAAAACAACAACAACAAAGTAATCTTGTGTCAGGGTTTCATCATGTAGTCTCCCAAGTCAAGTGCCTCAGGGTGTGATTTTATTGTACTCTACTCATCATGTACTAGAGGGAAAGGCTGACTCAGCTTTGCATCAGCTTGTGTATATTCAGCACGGACACGATTCTGCCATTTGCCTCTTGTAACATGTAGTTAGACATGAAATACACAAAACCATCACTTTAGCAGTTGTACTTTTTGACGTCTGCTAGTTTTAGTCTATATTTGTATATTTATACTCTGTTTTGTATTCACCTTTTAATTGTACTGCTTCTAACTCTCTTTTTGGTGATTTAAGTGGCAGCTGCAACACTAATTTCCTTTTGGGATTAATAACATGCGCTCTCTCTCTGTCTGTACTGTACATGTGCTAGAAATTTTAAGATTTTTAAATGACGAAGTTAAAAAAAATCCCCTTTGCTGATTACTTTAGTATCAAATGATGGTGGCAGATAAAAAGGGAAGATTTACATTTTCAAATGTTCTCAAAGTTTTAAGGTAATTTATCAGTAGTTATTGTCTTTGAAGGACATTGCAGTGATGAGGATAACACTTTGTGCTTTGTCGTCTTGTATTTCTGGTTGCTTATTTTCTTTTATTAGCTGAGCCCAAGAGATGCAGATTTGATATTTTACAATAAACAGTGCAGTGAAACAGCAGCCAAGCCTTAAATGTCATCAGCAAATGTAATCAAAACCAATCACAAAATAAATATGAAATATTTTGTAGCACTTACTAAATGAAGTCTTTGTTTCAGGGATACATTATCTCCACGCTGAAGCTCCGGTTAAAGTCATTCACAGAGACCTCAAGTCACGGAATGGTAACATATAATCCTGATTTGTCCCCTCAAACTCTGAGCTTCCTTCTGGTCTGCACAGATAAACATGAGTTCTCTCCACCAGCTGTATGTGACCTACAGGATATGACATGGCTTCTGACGGGTTTTTCTGTTTTCTCTTTTACAGTGGTAATGACGGCAGACAAAGTGCTGAAGGTTTGTAACAGCAATGTTTCGATGCGCGGACAGCCACAGTCGTTTCCCTTCAGTTCAGGCACACGGGTCATTTTGTGTCTTACTCGTTGTTCTCTTTCCGTTGGGATTTCAGATTTGTGATTTTGGGGCATCTAAGTTCCTCTCTCACACCACTCATATGACAGTGGTGGGGACTTTTCCCTGGATGGCTCCTGAAGTCATTCAGAGCCTGCCCGTGTCTGAGACCTGTGACACCTACTCCTATGGTGTGGTGAGTCTGTTGTACTATACCGATATACAGTATGTGTACTACAAGGCCAGAAATCAAACCTCAGTACTGCACTATCACTAAACGCTGTCAAGTACAGACAGCTGGAATCAAATTCTTGCTAAGATTTGTAGTTTTATTTTCTGACTTAAAACAAATTTCTTATATGAATTAATATTTGAGAAGAGAGGTTTTAAAAGAAAATGTTTATATTCCCCCAATTAAAGTATCACAAGAGTACAGTTTTGCTATCAGTACCAAACAGATTGTGTAGTATTGTCTGTACTGTATTATATTTAATTTTCCTGCATTAAAGACGTCGTCACAGCTGCTTAAGAAACTCTATTTGGAGCTAGCACCAGCCAACCAAATCGCTCCTGCCCATCTGAATGAAACGCTTTCTGTTGTGTGACCAGGTGCTCTGGGAGATGCTGACTCGGGAGGTTCCTTTCAAAGGTTTTGAAGGGCTGCAGGTTGCATGGCTGGTGGTAGAAAAACAAGAGGTAAGCTACACACAAACGAGCAAACCTTCCTGAACACACTGTAATCATGTAGAGCCACCAGAGTTTGAGAAGTCTGGAGAAACAATGCGATGCTCTCATGGTTTCCACTGTGCGTTGGTGAGGCTGAGACTGGGTATTTTTAGGCCTGATGTCAGTTCTCTGCTCTTGTAAGGCCTGGATACACAGCAATGGAGCTCAGCCAGACCCCGCTGCCTAAAGCCTTTACGAAGGGGGTGGGTGGATGGGTGTTGGTGAGGGAGGAAGAAGAAAGATTGCAGTGATAGGAGGGTTGATTCAAGTGGTTTCTGGGTGGTGGGAGTGATGGTTACACAGCATGTGTTTGTTATTGATGTGCTTGCATCCCCCTCTACAGCCCCTCACACTGTGGGCTAACAGCTCAGAATGTGTTTCCTGAGTAGCGACTGGCTAATCTCCAAGTGCTCTCCCTAAATAAGTCACTCTCTCTCCCTCTCCCTTTCCCAGTCTTGCTCTGGTTTTCCTCTCCATTGCTATACCTCTCATAATGACCCTCTAACGTACCCACTGTCCGCTTACAGCCGGTGCTATTTTAGGATTAATCCGCAGAGAACAGTGTTTCCAATTACTGCATGGCACTATAGAGCTGTCTGGGTTCATTCAGGCCTTTGGTGGTGCCAGGGAATCTTTAATGCAGGAACATTGTCACTTGCATGGTGCTACAGTTTACATATTACATAAAGATAAACATGGGCCTAGACACAAGTTTTCCCATTTCATGCCATAAACAGTTTGACAAGACTGCGCATTTTGAATTCAGTGATTGAGCGTTATTGGTCTGTAAAGTGTACTACACCTTTTGAATCCCACCCAAACACTTATAGATAGGTAAAAAATGAAGGTCTTCTCTCTCTCTTTTGCATTGAGATGGAAGAGGTTGTTCATTACCCCCAAAAAGCTTCACACGTGGAGACATGCAGGCACTTACTGTACTTATGAAGAAAACAATTTTCCAGTTTTCTCATCCTGCACGTTCAATTTAAGATTTTTTTCCATGTCAGTTTTATGTCATGGTGCTATCCATTTGTCTTGTTCTTATGATACTTCTCTCTGCATAAATCTTTCAGTTCATCTCTTTCTTCTGCCAACCCAACAATGCCTCAGATATACACACACACACACACACACACTGCCTACTTCTTTACCCTGGCATTGTGCAAGTTTCAAAGGCCCTGCAACTCTGAATTAAAAAAAAGCACCATATTTTGACAAAGCTGGAACCTAAACAGCCCAGATGAAGCGCACAAACTGAATTTGAGAGTTAAGCTGTGAAATAGTTACACCTAAAATGTTTTAAACCATGCTAGCAACGTCTAATGCCACCATTACTTTTACTGAAATGTCTTGGCAGTCGTTAGATGGATTAGCAGGAAATTTATTACAGACATTTACGTACACCTGAAGATGAAATGTAATACTTTTGGTGATGGCTTAACCTTTCATCCAGGGCCAAAATTTTTAATTCTCTAATACTTCAGTTTATGACCAACTGCATTTTGTGATATGCTAATTACCAAATGTTAGCATGCTAACATGCCAAAGTAAGACACTGAACATGTTGCTAAACAATGTACCCGTTAATCATCAGCATGTAAGCATGATCAACACAAGCATGTTATTTAATCATGAATAGCTTATTTCAAGTTTTAGAGAAATACTAAAGACATGAAGGAAAATTTAGTAGGTTTAATAAAAAAAAACAAGGTGGTCAGGCTTTTGTAAAGAGTAATGATTTTTGCTTCTTGTGTTTGTGCATCTGGATATCTAGAGGTTGACCATCCCCACCAGCTGTCCAGCATGTTTTGCAGAGCTGCTGAGGAAATGTTGGCAAGCAGACCCAAAGGTAAACTCAAGAACTATACAGGGAATACTTGGAAGAAAATGTTACTATGACTTTAAGGACATTAAAAATCGGCAAGACAGGTGGCTAAATTAACTTGTGCACTTGCATGTACCTATAGGAGCGTCCACAGTTTAAGCAGGTGCTGGTAACCCTGGAGACCATGGCCAAGGACAGCAGTCTACCGGACCAGTGTAACTCCTTCCTACATAACAAGGACCAGTGGAGGTACACACACACAAATGCATAATTTTGCAGACATGTAATCTGGTTAAAATGCAAAATGGAGGCACACAAGCATGTACACACACACTCATACATACTGTAGCTCTAGGCACTCTAAAGCTCAGGAGAGAAGTTGAATGCGTGACCCTGTGCACTACTTCAGTCTATAAAAAGCTCTCTGGAAAGTGTCCATGGAAGAGATTCATCTGCTCCTCCACTCTGCCCTTGCTCCAATGTGGGGAGAAAGACAAGAGGGTTGAGGAGAGGGAGCAGAGGAGAGGTAGTGAGGAAATCAAGTATGAACTGAAAGCAAAAACAGAAATGTACTGTATGTATTTGAAAACTAAAACAATGAGCAAGACAGAGAACAGTAAAGCTAGTGGGAAACATGAGTGGACGGGGGGAGATGGGAGGGCTGGGGGACAGTAGAGAAGGTGCGAGATTCTGCGCTTATTTAACATGAGAACAGTGAGGCAATCAACTCTGAGGGAAGTTTCGGTATGGGTGGAAAAACTTAGGAGGAGGGTGGGGAGCAGAGTGAGGGGGCAGGATGAATGAATAGGGAGGCATGGAAGGAACATGGGAGGGGGTATGGCTCTGTGTCAGAACTGTCTATATTTAGCTGCTGTGAGAGATGGACACACCAGCTCTATCTTGTGGTTGATGAGAGTATTGCAATGTGATTTTTCATTTGTGGACAAGCAATATACTGTAAAACATGTTGGGTCATGTATAGAAAACAAGTATATACACATCTTACAATTAGTTATTTGTATTGCCTAGTATTGTTGCTGGTGTATAATCAAAAATAACTGAAGTCAACTGGTGACAAAGTTTCATATACATAGCAATTGTAAGCTGGCTTCCTCTGTTATAGCAGTTTTTTTTTGTATATGAACTGTACAAATGGTAAAATGTGACAATTACTACAGAGTGTATACTGTGTACTTTGTGAAGTGGAACTACAGTGGCTTAAACTAATAATAGATCAAATCAATAAATGTAGCTATATAGGACACACTAAAGGAAACGTGGAGAACATTGGTCATGAGCTACTGAAACAACTATTAATTTCAGTTTCTTCCTGAAACTGAACTTCCTTTTGTTCTATGGCAGCTGCAGCAAAGTTTCTGTTCAAACTAGACCACGTTGGCTTGTACACAGTCACAATACATGATGGGTACTCTGTCTGCCTGTGCACACGCTACAGGTGTGAGATTGAGTCGACCTTGGAGCGCCTTCGGAAGCTGGAGAGGGAGCTTTACTCCAAAGAGAAGGAGCTGGAGGAGAGAGAGAGGAGGCTCAGGCTGTGGGAGGAGAGGCTTATGGAGAGGTCCAACATGACTCCAAGTCCGACCTCCCTACTCATGGAGCACACAAACATCTCACCAGTAAGTAGAAGTAGAAAAAGCATACCTGTTCAGACAGCTGAAAGCAAACCAATCCAAAAGCCTTTAATGATCTTGGCCCTGCTTTTCTTTCTGGCTCTATCAGTTTTTCACACCACTGTCCATCGGTTCCTCTGGTTCCTTCTTCCGCTCACACTCTCAGGACTCCAACAGTGGAGTCAGCAGTGCAGGAGTCAGCTGTCTCCTCCGCACCCTCAGCAATGGAGACACAGAGAGGGGGAGCAGTACAGTGCTGGACAGGGGGATGGGTGTGCTTGACGGCGGGAGACTGCACACTATGCTCCGGGGGTTGCAGGGCAGGTTCGGAGAGGAAGACGAGAAAGAGGAAAGCAGCCTACAGGAGAAAGGCTGGGGGAAAAGGGAAAGCGATGATAGTGGGAGCGTGGAGGGAGGAAGGGTGCAGGTGACACTCCGGAGCTTTCCAGGTGGTGTAGTAGAGAGGGAGGAGCGGACGTGGGGGGATGGGGACAGGGAGAAAGGTGGGATGCAGAGGAGCAGGGTGACCACCATAGTCCGAGGATACTCAGGGGGGTTTGGAGAGGCAGACAGTGAGAGGGAGAAAGAGGGAGGATGGGAGATAGAGACGCTGGGGGACAGGCTTGACGAGAGAGGGCTAGAAGGAGGGCGGCTCCCAACCATGTTCAAGGGTATCCATGGGAGTTTGGGAGGCCTGGGGGACATGTTGTCCGTAGACATGGATGAGATGGGCGAGATGGAGAGACTAGGTGACATAGACATGAACATAAATGACCTGGGTGTCATGAAGGTCATAGGTCACGGAGTCAGGAGTGGAGTGGGGGTCAGGGGTCGCAGCGGTAATGTGGGGGTCGTCGTCCAGGGAATCCGAGGTGACCTCAGTGAGGCCATCAGCCAAAAGATTAGAGGTGAAGTGGGTGCCATGGGCCCCTCGGGGGTGCAGGTGAGCATGCAGGCTTCATCCAATCAGAACTCTATGAAGAGCTGCAGGGTGCGGCACGGAACCAAGATCAACATGGCTACTGCAGCCGTGGACATGATGGAGCTCGACTGGTCTGACAGTGACTAGAAAACACATTAGCGCACAGAAAACACACAGAGGCCAAACTAGAAAGATTTAGACATGTTAGCACATACTGTACTGAGCTACCGTATGTGTATTAGAATCTCCAGTTGAAAGAAAGCTGGTATACACACTTTTGTTATTTTTTTTTATTGAACGGATGGTAACTACACCCATGTGTACTGTGAAGTAGGAAAGAGCAAAGAGACAGAGGTTGTCAGAATAACTTCACCTGTGTAATTTAACGTGCTATTAAAACTGCTGAGTGACATACTGTAAGAGGTACAAGTGTTACAAAATAACGCACTTGAATGCCGCTTTAATAAGGCAGCACTGCCTCATTTTTATTTTCCTGCTTATAGTTTATAGATGTGATTTGTTTAAAATAAGCTTTGACTTTACCAGTTCTAACTGTGATCTAGTGTGTGCATTTTTGGCAGTTTCTGTATATTTTACTATTTTTCAATAAAATGATAAGAAATTCTGGTTCCAGTACTGTGACGTTTCTCTACTCAAGTTAGTCTCCATCTTCCAGGGCTTGTAATAACATAAGGAAATACAGGAAATGTTAAATCTGAACAATAAGCAGTACTGCCTGGCCCGTTAGTTTCTGAATCTTGACCTTTGAATTACTGCTCACACACTAAGCAGGAGAGCCACTCCAGCCAGCACCCATTTAGCAGGTCTCTCCCTAGTTTTCAGGCTGAAAGTCCACACATATGTGGGTCCTCTGATCTTGGTCTTGTAGAGGGGACACTCATAGATATTTCTGGTCTCCTGACGGTCATTGGGGACAGCTCGGACTGAGATGACGGGCATGGCGGGGGTCAGTTCCTTTAGACGAGCCTCCATGATCACCCCGGCCTGAGCATCCCACCTTGCACCTGTGGGAAGACAAAAGTGACACTATGTGAATCCCAGTCCCCTTATTTTATTGTTCCTCGATCCTCTCTTAACCTGGAAGTTGTTCTGGTCCAGCATGATGAAGGATGTCCCAAAGCTCTTATTTCTGCTCTGCAGAGCAAGGAGGCTGCCTGGAGGAGCTATAACCGAGGATACAGGACTGCAGTCCTTCCAGTCTGTTACAGACTGACATGCCCATTTGTCGGAAGTCAGTTTGTGATTGGACGCTTCACATGAAGGATTGAGGAAAAGATATCTCATGTCAGTTAAAATGTTTCCTCTGATTAACTGGTAAAACACAGTGGAAGCAAGACCTAAGCACTACTGAAGAATGATTCCATTCAATCCACACAAAGCGAGACACAAGTGATGCGTCGTGTGTGTTTAAAGACACCAGAACAGCTGTCTGACAGCGGTGGGACAAAGTCTATTCCAGGCCGACCAACAACATATGTACTGGACAAAAACAGTTTTCATGTAAGATCATCAGGAAGAAATTATGTTTTTATGTAGCCTATGGATTTATTGATTTGACTGATTATCCCTGGCTGGTTACAGAGGGTGAAAGTGAAGCAGCCTGATCAGTCATAAGAGATAGCAGTGAGACAGAAAACAACAGGATTTGTGTGATTTACACAGCTGAGTGTGGAGATTACGCTTCGATAGAAGCAACGCAGAAGAAAAAAAGACACGAAGCATAAAAAAAAAAACATGAAGGTTTTACGGGAGACACGTGTCTCACGGATTCAGAAGTGACTGAGTCATTTGATATAGTGGAATTCTATCTGCAGCCTGAGACGTGCATAGAAAAGCCTTCCAGTGTGTTTTCCCAGTAAGATGGAAGTCATAGAAACATATGCAAACAGATGAACTGGGGTTCACCTATAGAAGGGGGGAAAAGGGTTACCATATTTTTCAACATTAAAACAAAGAAGGGAAGGTTACACATGCATGGTGTCGTTTGAAGTGATTTACAAGGGAAATGTTTTTGTGCACGGATCAGCAGAGATTTGAAGTAAAGAAGTACAAATACTTTGTTACTATACTTAAGTAAATTTTTCTGATCTGTGTGCTCTACATGAGCATTTTTTTTTCTGACTTTTTACTTTTACTCCCCACATTTTAACACAATTATCTGTGCTTTCTTCTCCTTACATTTTCATATCAAGCACGTTACTTTTAATTTTGATACATGTGAGGGGAATTATCTTTTTTTTTTAGCATTTATCACCCTGTGCACACTGCTGCACAGGCTGACAAGTCGTAAAAAGTACTAAAATCAAGTACCAGGACCGCCCAGGGGGAAGGGATGCTTGTGCGCAGAGCAGTCACTGGTGACTGATGAAATGTCTGTGTCTTCACACCTCAAGTATTAACATTACAAACACCATGTGTAAACGCACAGCAGATTGCATTTGTGAGAGGGGGAGCAGCCCCTCCCTCTTAACGGAGGCCGACATAGGGAAAATACAGTGGATAAACAAAGCAGGACAGTCCACGTCAACTCCAGAGGCTACGCTTGTTGATGGTTAAGGGAAGTACGGGGTGTATCGCTCATTAGGTACCGCAACATTAGTAGTCTGAATACCTTCCATGTAAAGTCCATAGACGTATGCACCCTCCCTGGCAGGCTGATTGAACTCTTCCTTAAACTTCTTGGTCACATCCACTGTCAGGTTCACCTTATCCAGGGGCCACTCGTTCTTACGTGCCAGAGACTGCATCACCGCTGAAAAGCAGGAACACAATGAAAAGACAAAGAATTAATCATGACAAAGACAAGAGTGAGAGAAAAAGATGATGGGAGAAGTAATAAAAATAAATGTATGTAAATAAGCGTATGCAGGCTTTTTGCCTGCACAAGTGTGTGTGTTTACCAGTGAGAAAGGACTGTGGGTTGAAAAGTCCAGCAAGCCAGACAACACTGGGCAGAGACAGGTCCTGAGTCCAGCTGTCCAGCTCTTTGCAACGCTGCAGCACGTCATTATACCTGACATGCACATGCATGCACACAGAACGAGAGACGGCATAAGATCTAGATCTAGAAATTTTATAGAGGTTGGTACAACCCATGATAGTTCCTGACGTATCTCAAAAAGTTACGATTATTCTGGAGCATCACTAGACATTGTATTCTGTGCATATTTTAATTAATTTTAACTTCTCTAGTGCAATAAATATTCCTATAAAAGCTCCTTATACAAAAAAATATCTCTAGTGCAATAAATATTCCTATAAAAAAATACAACATGGCAACTCACTAACTGCATTGTCAGCGTATCTGTAAAAACATTCAAACAAACACACCATGTAGCCAGGCTGTAGGTGGAGGGGTAGGCCAGCTTGGTCCAGGCATCAGGGACGTTGTCAAAGAACAATGCTGTCTGCAGCTTCTCCATCTCAGAGGACATGGCTAGTTCCCCCTTTGACAGAAAGATTGAAATTTTGTTTTACTGTGAATACAAAAGTCCTGCTTAACATGAGTGAGTCATTAACACATAAAATTTGATACACCGGTGTAATTACTGTAACAAACAGCTGCTGGCCACCTTTTATGCTACTGTTTTCTAACAGAAAGAGAGGATCCCTTGCTGCAAATCATTAAGTGTGTGCAAAGGTTTTGATTTCAAGAGTTTCTTCCTAATTGAGGAAAGTTGTGAAGATGATAGGAGTCATGGGAAATGCAGTCTTTTTTTGAGGGGCACTAGAACTAGCAACACTACTGCTGTGGGGCACAGAGGTTACACAGTCAGGATAATGTATAACATTTAATTTGACAATATCGTGATGCAGAGGGCTGCACTGCACACAAACCCTCACCTTGAGTCCCAGGTCGAGCTCCTTGAGGGAGCGTCGTATCTCGGTGATGAGCATGTTCATGTGCTCACATTCCTGGAAGCAGACCAGGATATATGGGGACCGCTCAGCTGTCTTAGAGGTGATGTCAGGCATATTGTACTCCTCTGGTAGCTTTTCCAAGACTTCATCTAAAATCATTTTCACCTGGAGGAGGGTGGAGTGAGTAGGGGAGGGGGATTTGTCATAGTTGTTAGATTTATGTAGATTCTCTAAGAATTCCTATCTTTGTGTGTTGTCCAGGCTTAGAACAGGTTCAGACTGTTAATGACACATAATGTCTTTTAATTCCTATCAAGAAATAATTGAACATGTGTGGAGCTACCTTGTCCTCCAGTGTCTGCGAGACTCCCTCCCCCATCACAGCATCTCGAGACTGCAGCTCCAGAAGAGCGTGAAAAAGATTATCTGACGTGACTGTCAAGAACTCAATTTCTGCATTGGGGTGCAACCCATAATGCACTGGGCTCTCATGGGGCAGCATTTCATCTATGAAATTATGGTAGCCCTGGAAATGTGTGGAGAGGAAAAGGTGTTGCCATTTATTCAGCAAACTCTGCAGTAAGTCAATTGTTACTTTTATTTCAGATTTTTGAGTCAGTTGTACTTTGTGTATGAACTGAACTTTTAACTTTTATTTCTCCATGGACAGCTGTCTGAACATTTCTGTTCACACAAGTTAAATGGCCAACATTAAGAAGGAATGAGGGGGTCACCTGTTTCAAGGAAATGTTTCCTCAAACAGCACCTATTTTCAGTTACCTGATAGTCCAGGTTGGAGGGGACGACAAACCCAGGAGCCAAAGAAAGCTTCCGGTCAAACTAGAGAACCGGAGCAAGAGAAAGAAGAATGTTTAGCTTCTGATTTCACACAGTAACACAGTATAAAAGTGCTTAGTCCAACAGTGGCAAAAATCTGGCCCATTTACTTGCCAGACACCCCCGAGCTTTCCACCAACTACCTATGAAGGATTACATTCATGTTTCTCTCTGTCTTCTCACAAATACAAATACAAACCTGGTTGGGCTGCATGTATTCTTCCAGATATGTTCTGCAGAGCCGTCTGTCCCAGTCATCAGTGATGTGTCCTCCATACATGATCTCCCCAAACAAATACCTCAGGTCCTCCCATGGCACCTTCATCATCATAATCAATATGAAAAACACTGCCTATATAAGCACCATCTTAATCATCCTCAACACGCATATGCGCCTCTCTCCCAGTCACATCCCACCTGTGCGTTAGCCTCCAGATAGTTGTAGAGGATGTTAACTGATATTGTCAGGTCTCCAGTATTGAAGGGATACTTTTTGTTCCAGCCCTGGGGACCAAACTTCCTTCTCTCGGCCACACAGGCATGGAAATAACACAGGGAGAAGAGGATGATTTTAAACTCCTGCTCACGGGTGCACTGGTCCAGGATGTCCTAGAGAGGGGCCGATAAATAAATTGACTAGATCAATAAACATATAAGCAATATTAGCACAGAGCAGACAGTAAATACTCACCTGGTCAAAGTTATCCAAAGCAGCATGCAAATTGGCATGCATGCCGGTTGGAGGTTCATTGGTGATCTTGATAGCATTTTCCAGGATGCCCTGAGTGAAAAGATACAAAGATTTACAGTCTGTATTTAGTGCTGTATTCAAGTGCAATACACATTGTAGCAGAACTACAATGTAGGTGCAAGCTGGGAGCATACATTCATTATGTGTATGTGCTCAGTGTCAAGATAAATGGAGAGAACCTTAGTGAAAGTTCACTGCATCT